TTGACCAAAGGTAAAAATCAACCGTCTGTACTGACCTGAAACGTACGTAAAAACTGCACTTATTTTTATATACATAGTTACAAAGCGATAGTCAATCTTAACGTTAATATTTTTTAATTAGTATTATAAATATTGATGTAATTAAATCTCTGACATTCTCAATGTCATGTTGTTTCCAGTTCGTCGCTCAATGACGATATATCAACCTGTCATTAGCTTAAGCTTCTCATTAATTAGCAATTTACCGTTTTGGTATACCCGTTTGTATCAGGAAGGTACACAACTATAAAGGCAATTTGCCCTGTGTTTAACCTTGCTTGAAGGGCTATTCGACATGTTGCTTGAGCACTGATCGCAGCTGGAAAAAATCTGCTGCAAAATTGTCAAATATGTCACTAACATAAATAGCACGCGAGCTAACGCGGGTAGCGCCGGGCAGCGAGCCCCGACTCGCCCAAGAATATTAGGATATTTCCGGAGTAGTCACCCGGGCCCGGCGGGAGAAGCCAGTCCTTTAAGTTAATAAAGTCCCTTTTTAGATATGTGCACGCTTGCTTGTTAGGAAACCATGAGAAAATGGGTGTGTCTGAGGATGATAACATTCGTATTAAAGACAGCGTGACTATTTTGTTGATGTACATCGGAGAAACGAAATTCGGCATACAGCCATAGCCGTATAGACTGAATTAGGTACGTAAAACCCAAAAATTTACAACGCGTGATAGAAGGCTGATCACACTTGTCCACACTCACTCTCACTCCGCTGGGCCTATGACAAAAAGTATCTTGGCCTCTGAAACGAGAAATTCCCAGCGCTCCCTGTCCTGTGCCACTTCTTGCCAATTGCTGGCTTTCAGCAGGTCCTCATCGATCCAACGGTACCTGGGCTGGCCTATTGGCCTTCGACCTACAGGCTTAAGTATGCGTCCTTCACTGGCCGATTTTGGCCCATGCAGAAAAGCCGTTTGCTGTTATTCTAAATTATTATACATGTTCACCAATACCGCTGGCGTTATCGAGAAAATGTATGATTTCGGAATTTATGACATACATTTTCGGACATAGCATATTATTATGTATCTGTTTATCCAGTACAGTAGAGTAAAAAGAAGTACAAATATACTTTTTTTCAAATAATACCAAAGCGCTACAAGTTTTTGAAGTAATTTGTTTGCTAAGTAATTAAGGTGGCATAATTTCACATGAGTACGCTCTAAAACAAACATGATTGCAATAGACGTGTCCACGGTGTGCTGGAATGCGGCCGTGCTGGGTAAGATGCGCTTGTGCACCTTCCTAGTATCGTACAATACAATACTATTTGAAGAAATACATTCAAGGAGGCTTTGGCGGCTGTATTTACATATGTGGAAATTGGTAAATCTATTTGAAAAAAGAAAATATGATTATACGAATTCGCTAAGAAATAAAAAGAGAGCCTACCCATGTTATATTACTAGGTGTGTGGTATTACCACCAGTTATGCGCTACTATTGCCAAAAAAATATTTAAGGTTGTTAAGTGTTAAAGACTGAAGGGCGATGCACTTAATATCGACGTAAAATATTTGTATAAAACCTTCCCTCCCCCCCAAAAAAAAAAAAAAAACCCCCCCCAAAACCCCGGCCCCTCCCCCCCCAAAAAAAAAAAATTTATACGCCGTTGAAAGGTACTATATATTTTATATATTATATGTTGACCAAAATTTCTTTTCTTTCCTTTTTTCCCTCCCACAAAAAAAAATCCGCCTTTTTTTCTTTAGAAATACTTACTTCTTCCCATGCAATAATTACTATTATATCAGCATTTCACGTAATTTTTACAACCCCTTCCTTCCCCCCCCTTTTGGGACCCCCCCCCTTCTTTTTTTTTTTTACGATTTCCGACATTTTTTTAATAAACGATACAGGACCAAATGCCCACTGCATTTCTAGATCTCATCATAATTCAATCTTACATCTTGAATCAATTAAAAGTCTACGGGGATAATGTTTCCGCGGAACTTTTTCCTTGTTACAGCGTTTTAAAGTTTTGATAAAACGGCGTACACAAAAGGCATTTGTAACTTTGGTAAAAGTTTACTCTCAAATGGTGACTGGCAGTTAAATAAATATATTATGTTTCAAAAATGGTAGCTATCATGGATAGGTCAGAACCCACTAATTTTTTTCCGAAATTAACAATTTTTGGGTGTTGCAATTGTCTACTTAGCAAAGCCCGGGTATTATAAAAAAAATTTTTCAAAATATGCAATATTATATTATATCGGTAATTAAGATCTCCCATTTTTAATAAACGATAAGGAAACCATTTACTCATTACCCATTACTCTTAAAGTCTACGGGGATTGGGGACCCCCCCCCCCCAAGGCCCCCCCCCGGGGGGCTAGGTGATCAAAACCCACTAAAACAAGGGTGCCTCTTGCCCTACCACTGAAGGAGACTCTCGGGTCGCCTTGGCCTTTTATCAGGGCCACGTGAATCACCTATTTGCCTTATGGAGTAGTCAGTTCTGTGCCAGTTCTTCTTCAGGTGATACTTTATTACTAAAGGTTGACTGTTAACAACTTGAATTTCCGAGTCCTCGGCGGATGTGATGCCGGTCCACTTCCGTACGTTCCACAACCACGACATCCTCCTTCTCAGCCGACAGGAACAGAACAGCCCGTCTCTTGTTTTGAATTTTGCCTATCATTACCTGTGCTTGTTAATAGACGAAAATTGCATAATTATAAGCCAGTTCTCATCATTTTGTTTTGTAAATAAAACAAAAAGATTACATGTAAATTGCAATTAGATCATTAGCCAACATAATTAATGAGTACGTAATCAAATGTAAAGTAGGCTAAATTAACAATACAAGCCTTTTGAAATTGCTTGGAGTAATTTCAAATTAATTGTAATGTTTTTATTTACTGTTATTTGGAGTTAAAATTGCTTTCTTAAATTTTTTTAATGCAATGTACTTTTATCACGAGAGGTAATGTGGGTAGCGCCGGGCAGCGGGCCCCGACTCTCCCATAAATTTTATGAGGATATTTCCGGAGTAGTTGTCGCCCGGGAGACGCCAACCCTTTAAGTTAATAAAGTCCCTTTTTAGAAAAGGGCAGATTTCGACAGTCCTCTCCTGCTTAGCTTTTCGGTCACCTATCTGCCTGATTGCGTGCCTAATAGGCTATTAAAGGGTCCCTGTTTGAAAAAAAACGTTGTTAAGTGTCTTTCTTATCATAAGCAAAATAAAATAATATCTCTATTTCCCATAATTGTCATGTACTTTAGACAATATAGTTCGTAGCATATGCAGTAGATATAGCATTATATATGATGTGGTGAACTTTAATAAATAAATAGCAGTGTTGTCCTAGTGGCTTTGGCGTGCGACTTGCAGGGTCGTAGGTTCGATCCCCGACTGTGCACCAATAGACTTTCTATGCGCGCATTTAACACACGCTTGTACGATGAAGGAAACATCGTGAGGAAACCAGAATGTCTTAGCCCCAATAATTTGACGGTGTGTGTCAGGCACAGAAGGTTGATCGCCTATTAGAAATGATCGCGGAACAGACAGAAATCTCAGACCCAGCCCTGAAAGGTTGTAGCGCTATTGGTGTATTATTCAGATAACTCGACGTTTCTACAGCGGTTATGTTCAACGAGTCCCACAAGAAAAGAGTGTATCAATTCTTAAATGCCGGCAATGCACACATGCATATTATCTTAATTTCGTTAAAGTAGTAAAAACAGCAAATATCGTATAAAAATATATTTATAAGAACGGTACAAAATTAAACTTTATAGCTAGCTAGCTTAGTAATAACTAATAAACATGAAATAGTTTTTGATATTTCACTTAACACTGGGCAGATATTAATATATTGTATTTCGAGTCTTTTAAAGTATATAGCATATACTTGGAAATATATAGCTACTTTCAAAAAAATCCTCGGAAAAGATCTTATTTTTATATGTTAAAGCTAGGTAAATATATACTATGCATTCATATAATACAATAGCAGAAACTTATTATACTTTAGAATGTTTAAAAAATCTTAACTAAAATATCTCTAGTATTGTCTTTGATTAACATATTCAAAAACACATTTTGACCGGATTGAAGTTATCTATTATTATAAATTTACTAAAAAACCAAAATTTAACGTGCGTGGTCACCGTGCCCTTTAACACGCGAAACGTCGGATAAATTTAAAATTATGTTAAATAGTTGTAAATTTATAATAATACATAACTTCCCCGCCCAAATTTCGTTTTTTTATAATATCTCTACAATTATGAGATCTATATTAAAATGTCTTTTTTATCTCTTTTTTAAATTTGTTGACCTAAAACTGCTAAACATAAAACCATTTCTTTAAAATGTCTTTATTTATCACATGGGTCGCTCAAATGTATTAATTATAAGATAAATTGAACCCATCTCAATACGATGTGGAAGCAATCGAGTCTAGACTAGGGTTGCAAACTTTTACAATAAATAAAGTATAATATTTAGGTCTGAAAAGAATATTAAACAATATTATAGACGACACTGTTTCTAGTTTGAAACTTTTATTGTTATGCTGCACTGAGCCCCGTCTGACTAAATAAAAAAAATGTTTTTGTCGGTGTAGTAAAACAGTATTTTATATACTTTATTATTGTTCAACAGTAAAAAGTATAATGTAGTGAAAAACAGTATTATACAGTAATACCCCCTATAACGCGGAATTTCAAGTTATATTTCTGTACTGTGAAATTTCAAGTCCATAATTAGTTTTTCGTATTGCACCTGTTTTAATTGTGTTGTTACAAAATTAAACTAAATAAATTTATTGATTAGTGTTCCTAATTTTTGAATTATTCTAAAGAACGGTTTTACGAGAATACTACTACAACGTAATTTCCTATAATTATATTAGTATTACTGTACTGATTTGACAGTTTGGTTTAACAACTCTAGTCTAGCCGTAAATTTTGTTTAGAAGCGTATAGCTTAACTGAATACTACGAATCCGGGTCTTCAATTTTACACTGATATTGTTCACTCAAAAGGAATTGATTCTGCGCTAACGCCTCCAATAACCACTCATTCACTTTCCCTCTAAACGTAAACTTCTGAACATCTGTCAAATCGCGTATAGTTGGCAAAATACTCATGAGAAACATGAAATCGGGATTATTTCTCAACTCGTCGTCAAATGGGTTCTGGTTGTCTATCTTCTTGGATAACTCGTTTAATTTAGTTGTGATTTGCTGCAGTTTCCATGACTCCTGACCTGAATATGAAGTGCATGGTTCGGGACTTGCGATTTTGTTTTTTTTTTGTGGGGGTTCTTCGGACTCGGCATCGTATTTTACATTTTTATATGGTTTAGGTTCTCCTTCGTTTAGTAGCTCCTTCTTAATAAACTGTAGTCGGTTGAAGTACAGCCACCTCGACTTGTCTATTTCACCCGATGCAATTTTCTTAAGTTCTTTTCGACACTGATCTTTTAGGTATTTCCATCTACTCCTCACAAGTTTCTCTATAACAAATTCATCATTAAATATTAATTTCACTTATAATTTGTAAGTAAAGATTTTTATTTAAATAAAGTATGAATACTTTATCGTACACAATCTGAAACTCTGCTAGTGAGTTACTCAGTTAATAAGTACCTACCGTTCGGTCAGAATACATATTTTAAACAAACATGTGTCGTGTTCTATAAAATATTCATTTAAAAAAGGTTAAAACTATTTCACAGTAATAGCTGTAATGGACAATGTAAAAGCTACCATAATCTTTAACAAATCTAACCGAACAACGGCAATAAACAGCGCCACGCGGGGTTTCCTACTACGCTAACGTGTGCGAGCTGTCATTCGTCTACGTCACAGCTCGCGCCGCGTCTCGAGCGCCCGTTTCACATTCAACATTGAAACCGTCCGGCGTTGGCATGTCGTAAGTTATCAAACACTCACCCTCGGAGTCAAGATCGGCGGCGATTATAGCCCACGACTCCGCTTGAACGGATTTCCGGCGGTAATACTTATGAGCAGGGTCCCACAGCACCGGGTACTGCTTCACTTTATTGAGAATATCCTCGAACGACATGACGCTACCGCTCGAGTTAGGGCGCCGCGGCGAACTGCCCGCTCCCCGCTGAGACGCTCCGCCGCGTCCGCTGCGACACTCTGTCCCTTTCCCCCTTAACCGTTAGTCGCCGCAACCGCTACGCCCCTCCCTCGCCCCGCGCCCGCTTACGCTCCCTCCGCCGACGACAGCTACGCTATTTTATATATTCATGATTGACTGAGCGTGAATTGACATAATGCAACGTTAATGCCAATTGTAATATGTACACATTGCGGTTATAATAATAAAACTTGTAATTCTTTTATAAAGTATTGTACGAAACTAATAACAAAAATATAATATTTCGATAGTGACAAACTTGAAAAAGATACGAATGGATATTTTACTATGTACATTCAGATAGATTAATTATAAAGAAGCGCACAATCAACTACATAAAATTAGACAAGCAAATGTCATATAATTTTCATAATGTCATATTAATAAGTTAAGTTATGTATAATGTGTCAAAGGACCAAAAAGGTCTAAATACTCTCTCACACTAGGCACATTGCATTTAAAAATGTAATCACCTTCCCCTTGAAAGCATTACAGTGATAATAATTTCTGCGAAGGTGATTAAATAATTTGATAGCTACCTATATTTAATGCATCTTCGTTGTTTGAAACATTAATAATAAAGTAAGGACATTATTTATTCGATTCTTGATTGCACATTGTATTGTAATGGGACGTATGATTACAAATGGGCTAACAGAAGGTCGCTATACACTGAACCCTGCATAGGTTATTTACGTAAAGGTTTAGGTTTGCATAAGTGCTTTATTATAAGAATTATATTTGACTAGGGTAGGTAGGCTGTTCTTGGTATTTTTTTGTATATACATTTGGTTTTGTGATTTTTATAAACTAACGGCTACCACCCGAACCCAATAACCTATCTCAATGCATTTTGGACCGTCTGAGATAGAAATCTTAATCCATATGTTACAACAAGTGTGCCAATAACTAATCTTCTTCTTCTTCTTTTACTCATCTCCAGTAATGGAGAGGCCATTACTGAAAGTTGAACTCAACGATGCCGAGTTCACTTTTACATTTAGGTTAAATAAATCTGCAGTGGAGTTATTTAAAAAAAAATACTGTTTTCTTTATGCCTTCACTGTTATCGTGGTCAGTGATACACATTCAATTGTCCTGCATCACCATGATTGCTGAAAGGCATTCAAAACGTTAGCTATGAAAGTCATGGAGCTTATATTTGTAAATAAAAAACTTGGCGATTTAGATCTACACCCCTGATTTGGGAATTGGTACTAAATGAATGTAAAGAGCTTTCCTTTTTTAAAAGTGTGTTTTCATAATTACCAATGAATAAATTGATTTTGATTTGATTCTAATGTAATGAATTGGCTTCACATCTGTCAAAGAAGTTTCTTTTAATATCTCTTAAAACGTAAAATATTAAGTTACGATCTTTAAAAAAATAATAATTCAATCATTCATCTAATTTAATTTAATACCTGAAGCTGAGTTTCATCATCGGACGTCGAGGCAGAATACGAAATTCCACCCGTATCACCTCGACGTCCGCCGTTCCACAACTAAGTGTTTTTCAATGCAGTTATGCGGCCCACCACCACTATGTGGAACCAGCTGCCCACTGAAGTATTTCCGAGCCAATTCGATTTAGGGTCCTTCAAGAAAAGAGCGTACCAATTCTTAAAACGCCGGCAACGCACTCGCGAGCCCTCTGGCATTAAGAGTATCCATAGGCGGCGGTATCACTTAACATCAGATGAGCCTCCTTCCAGTTTGTCCCCAGTTCTATAAAAAAAAATCTTTAATGACAACTTTGCATCCTCCCAGTGTATCCATACCTTATGCAGTTTACCTGTGGTATACATATGGGACATATGAAAGTGGGTCAAATGACAAAGAGGAGGAATGTCTCGGTAATTACTCCACAATAGAGCATTGTCTGCGGAGACACTTCCGGTGAGAGCATCCTGCCCGGCGCGCATGGACGATATTTTTAAAAGTAATTATAGTTATAACGGAAACAAATTACCATTACTACCTATTTTAATATCATACATACGGTGGTGTCAAAAGCGCTTTTTATAATAGTAGATTACAATAAATTTTACTTCCAGTCAAATCAAATCAAAATCATTTATTCATTTAGGTTTAGTACAAATGTACACTTATGAACGTCAAAAAGAAATACATATCAAGTGCTTTTGAGGGCGTAGAACGGAAGAGAAGAACTGGCAATAAACTCTCCGCCACTCTTTTCTCCAGGCTTCGCTTAGCTGGGATTTTTTCAAAATATTTTTGATATAAAGATTATGTTAAGTCTCTACTTATGTATAATTATTAATGTATCAAGTGAAAGAAATTACAATAAATCTCTCTAAAGTTTATTCGTTAAAAATATAATGCTATATAGCATATATGCCGATGGGGTGCCAGGAATTTAATAAATCAAGCCCATTTCTTTTGTACAATAATAAAAACTGTTCATGCATGTGTACGTGCATTCGTACTTCATAGTCTATTTAGCATGAGGAAGAAAAACAGTATCTAGAGACACCAACCGCATAACACCGCTATTCACCGGCTGTCGATACAAAAACATAGATATTGGCCTAATAGCAGACAAAGCCGCAGGTAGGAAGTAGACGGCCAATTGTAATTGCCTCAAGTTGTAAGTCAAAGCGTTTTTATACCTATATTCATCAAAGATATATTTAAAAAGTTGTCAATGAAGCAGACGCAAAACTGCCCGTGCTCAGGAAAAAAAAATAAACAAATTCACTTCATATAAATGATCGAAAAATTAGGTTAATAAGAAAAAACTAAAACCTTCCTCAGAGATTAAAAAAAAACCGTGTTCGACTTCGATTCATTTTTATTTAAATAAATTACATCAAATACCCACTGTCCTGTTTTTTAATACGTAATACTGTCGATTGCATCGAGGGGTCCATAATGATTTATGATTTATGATTTATAAAAATGAATTTTGATTTTTGATTCTTTTTATTTATTTATCATTTAAAATTAATATACATTGAAATTATTAATTATGATTGGAATTTAAACTTAAGGATTATTAATAGTAATATTTTATTTTTTAATGCATGCACATATTAGGTAATAATTAATCATATCATATACTTGTTTAATATATTATTTATTATGGCAATAAAGAGGCTATAATAATAATAAAAAAACTGTCGATTGCAATTGGAAAACGCTGGAACTGAACCAAATTCCTCTTTCCATACCGTATATTCGCCATCTTCATATAAGGTCATAAATTGACTGGTACAAGAATAGACCCTAATAAATAAGTTGGCAAACCTTTTAGTCTGGAAGCCGCAAATCGCTCGCCACCTACCACTTACCACAGCATGCCAACCAATCACTCCGTCACAGCCTGTGATTCCGGCGCTGATGTATATTTTGTTATTATTGCACTTTCACGCAAATCTCTCTCATTATATGCACAACAAATAACACTACTTCACTGCGAGCTAAATAGAAATCACTTAAATACATTACGATGGGTATTTTTTACCGCAGTGGTTTATACCATGACAAATAAACAGCTAACTTTTGCTGTATTAAATTTTTTAAGTTATACTTCTATTGACGCGTTAGGGTTCAAATTATGAGAGTAAATTTTTACGATGCGCGCGCACACCGCCACAAAAAACCGACACCCTGAAGTTAGGATAGTCAACATTTAAAAAAAAATGTCAATTTCTTTAATTATGTAAATATATTTTTTTGTGATATTTAAATAAACTTTATTTAACTTGCAACTAGACATACGCTTTAAGGTCTGAGACTTGCTGGTTTCACCTTGTTTTCCTTTACCATAAGAGTGAGTGCTAAATGCTCTCATAGAAAGAAAAAGTCCATTGGTACACAGCCAGGGTTCGAAGCTACGTGTCCTCAAGGCCAACACTGCTCTCAAATTCCTTTCCTATATCAAATTCCGTGCAAAACACAAAATGTATACTTAGTAAATACGAAGACATTTATACATCAAACGTGAAAACCATCCGACATCCTGATAGCCTATTCAAATGATACCGCGTCGTCTGTCATTACTCGCCCTGCAACACATCAGCAAATGTGGGACACCAGCAATTATGGGTGATTTGCTCTGAGATACATGCAGTCTGCTTGTTGATCTAATTGCTAAGTAACGAAAATATGATACATTTTCCTTAGCTAGTTCAGCTTCACGCTATCCAAACCGTTTGGCACGAACTACACTGTAGACTCCATATAACGATACCCAAGGGACTGTGCAAATTTTGACATTACAAAGAGTTCGGTACGTATGATGCCGATAGTCGGGTTATTATGGGCGAGGACAATAAAGCGTCAAAATAACATACACAGCTCCGCAGTTTTAACTAATTTCGGCAACTTCAAAACTGTCGTTATTGAGGGTGGGTGTAATGCTATGTAGAGTGTATCTTTGTATGGAATACAAGCTGAACCAACCAAAGCCGAGTGATTTCGACGCTTTAGGGGGGTTGTAATTAAATCGAGGGAGGTTACATGGAGTTTACACTGTATTCTAAATTTTAATGCTCTGCTTTCTTGCACTGCCTTCCATGGCTAGATCTATAAGTCTAAAAAGTCCCGTAGACGGGATTTTGATAATACAAATTGTTTATACAACATATTTTAATAATTAATAGTTAAGAATGCTCCATTTCAAACATACTCTTGACTTTAAGGTAAAGTTTTCCCTAACTCCAATAAAGTTCATAAAGTGACACGCTTTCCAGCTGGCGTTTGTGTATGGCATTCTGGTACCTTTTGTACGCACATTTTTCGTAGGATTAATGCATTAATTATTAGGCTTTTTATATAAATCTACGCAGATGATGTCGCATATCTGAAATGTCCCCAAATAAATAAGGTATCAGCCTACTGTACCAAGCTGCCTGATACGGTTTCGAAGACAATCCGGTACTTTCGGTAGTACT